AATTCCAATTTTGTAAGTCTTTTTCGCAATGTTTACGTTGTTCATCTTGTTTTAACATTTCTAGTAAATCTATTTTAAAATCCTCCATTTGAACTGTTAGCTAACTTTTCACAAAAGTATATTTTACATAACTGTCTCTCAAAAACAATTTATATCTTTCTACAGATTAACTTCCAACGTAACAGGTTTACATGAGAAAACCCTCTCAACAATACATGACATTTGTAAATTAAAAAAAAAAAAAACACGTACCTTTCGTTAGGTTTCCATTTCTTTGTAGTTTGAATAATATCCCGTAATTTTCTCAAAATTATATTTCGAACAACTTGTTTAATATCCAGGTAATACTTAGAAAGTTCTTGAAGCCAAAATGCTTTTTTAACTTTGCTAATTTCTTGATCTTCCTTCGCCAATGTAGCCTTGGTGAAATTTTAAGTGAGTTTCGCTGACACCTTCGTTCGTAGATCTAAAGTCTTAATGAATTTGATTTTTTTTTAATATGAATTTTACTACTTGAAACGTTACTTTCTGTGGACACAAAAATCATATCCTCTGTTTAAATACAGGTATTCAGAAAAATACTGGCACTCACAAAATTAAAGTTTGATGTAATAAAAAATGTCGGATTAAAATATAAAATTCATTAATTCTTTACAGATATCTTTGCTTACATTTCTAAACTGAGCAAACATGGCATTCGAGAACATCTGAATGAGTTAATAGAACGTTGCTTAACTTTAAGGTAGACCTGTCAAAATACGCCGGATCAGTCAGGGTGAACGCAGGTTCGAATACTACCGGAGGGCATATTTTATATAAAAAATAAATTCTTTGTAAAAGAAATGGATGTTTATCTAAATACATGTACAGATTTTCTAAGCGCTGCTTAGATGTGGCACAAGGCTAGAAGTATGGAGCACCCAGTGAGGATCGAACTCACTACTCAGTTGTAATTGTTCTAGAGAGACGACAAAACATAACCATTACACCACGCCGAGGTGCCCCATCTAAATACATGTAACGACTAAATTAATATTTAAAGTTCATATATATATATATATATATATATATATATATATATATATATATATATATATATATATATATATATATATATGTGTGTGTGTTTGCTTAGGATAAACAGACGTACATACACATTCACACCAGCCACACAAACATACTAATAACAAATTTGAATTTATGTCTTAAAAGTCATTTTACTGACTGTTGAGTCTCTTGATGATTTCCATTATATATTCCCTTTTGACCCGGGAGAAAATATATCAGGAAGTTAAACATTCCATACTGATATCTTCCTCGACTGTATCCCTATATATTTCCAATATTTAAATTTACAGCGATTTGCCAGGTTTAAGACAGGTAGTTACCAAACTGGTATACCAGATATTATGTCACAGTGATGCAATTATTTCGATATCATCATACTCCGTTGACTTTTCCTACACTTACTTTAATATGCACTTATCAAATTAATAAAATACATATTATAATATGAGAGCCATACTTGATAATGTACAATGTCTAATAATATAAAAGTACAACTATAATAATACACTATAATATAAAATTTTATAACAATGCAGCAGCTAATATTGCTGCTACTGTTGGTACAATTAAATGCAGTTAATGCCTGAAGCCGTTGTGCCTTCGAGAGTCACATTGATCCCTCTGCTATCACGGTCTTTGCCGATTGATCTGCTAGTAGTCCTTACGGGCGACGTACTTCCGACGAGTAGGAGTCGAACTGGTAGTTTACTGTAGTGTTATGATTATCATGTCGTCGCAGGTTACGATTGAGCCAAAGAAAACGGCGCCAAGTAATAATGAAGAGAATGCTTGTCTGGACGTTCATTTGGTGAAGCTTCTCATTGGACAGAAGATTATACCTGTTACCACCTGCGATCGTGCTGATAGCCAGGGAATTCAAGCGATTGACGCGAGACGCGAAGGTGTTTTTCGACGTCACTTCACGGCGCCGTAGAGAAGCACAGAGCAGTAAAATATTGACTTAGCATATCTAGATATTACTATGCGCCGCTAGAATATTTTGCAAAAGCTGTAGCTAATCCACATATTGTTTTGATCGCGGTCTTCAGTCTTGATTTTCGTTTTAAAAGGCGATGTTTAGGATTGGAATAAAACTTAGAAACATGACGAAAGTGAATATATCCTTCATTTTGTTCTTGAGAATTTAAAATACAAATATTAAACACTGTTTATTAGATTCTTTAATTAAAATAATTATTCTATATTTACAAAGTTCTAAACATTCTAAAACAATTAAGAACTAAAAAAATACATTTAATATTTACCAGATTTGTTAAGAAATAAATTTGAAATCAGTTTTTATCCATATCTTTTAAAACATTTAATTAAATTACTAAAATATGCGAACCAACTATAAAGAAATACTTAGCCTTTTTACATTTTATAAAGATGGCAATTAGACGATATTTTACCAACCTTTCAATAAATAATATAAATAGTGTAAATAAACAATACAATAAATAAATAGTATTTATAATTTGTCTTGTATTCGGAAGAACAAAAATGTATAAATTTAATTCCATATATTTGTTTTATTACTAAGCGAATCATCGCATTTTAAAACAATAAACCTTAGCAAAGCATGACGGTAGTTATAAAAGCGGTGTAAGGGCAAAACGTCCTTGTGACACCGGATTTTATCGTGCGGACGTTTTTCCATGTTTCCGAATTTTTGTTATTCTTATCAATGTTTAAGTTTTGCATAATCATCGGTTTATTAGTGTCTCGTTTTTTGAGTAATTGTTTAACGTTTTTCATGCTAACCTGAAATTTAAGTGACAAACGGTTTTAAAAAGAATTTATTTCGGCAATAAATATGCTTCCAAAAAAAAACAGAATTGACTAACGCCATTGGTACACATTATGTCTTCTGTATTTCTTCTAACCAATACATACAAACGAGGAAAATATACAAATGGGATCTTAATGTAATCTCATATATATATATATATATATATATATATATATATATATATATATATATATATATATATATGTGTTGTGATGAGATAACCCAACTTCCCCATTCACGATAATGGACGGACTGGTTGCCGATTAAGTACGACCACAGCGGACAGTCGAAAAAAAAGGTCTTCGTTTGTTAACACCTATTGAGGTTAGCATAATTCCGACTCTCTCTCTGTATTAACACACCTACATCCGATTATAAAATTATTATTGAAAACCAACACTCGGGTTTACTTTGTTTATTATCTCTTGCACGAGATATAATATATATATATATATATATATATATATATATATGTGTGTGTATGTATGTGTTTGTGTGTATTACAGTTGAAAATTTTGAAACTACCTCCCGAATTGCCATGGAATGAACTTGACAGAAGAGTGAAAAAACATGAAAAATTCACTTAGTCATTGAAAAAAAATGGAATCAATCATGAAACTTATACTTTGAGAAACTTTTCCAATGAATGCCAAATATAGATAGATTGATAGGTAGATAGAGAGACAGATAATGTACAGACCTAGATAGATAATGAACAGACTGCGATGGGATAGATAGATAATGAACAGGCTGCGATGGGTTAGATTGATAGCTAGTTAGATAGATAAATATGAAACGACTGAGAGAGTAACGAAGGTTAGAGGAGGATATTTGGAGGAGACGAAACTTTAATATTAAAATACTGTTTTTTTTTTTTTAGTCATTATAAAAAAAACATGTCTCGTTTATTTTACTATGTATAGTAATGTTCTATTAAAAGTACAAATCAACTACTTTTCTTTACTAGGGAATGCCGCAATCTTTTAAATAGTTGTGTATTTACAAATACATTCTTCCTTTTTAATATTCAATTTTTTGCATCCTGCAATATCTGTGTTGATCATAATTTTTCAAACCTATTACTCTGTTGGAGTAATATTTATACAAAAAAGCTTATCTCGCAGAGAGATAATGAAACCCATGTACATAAACATGCAAACCTGTGAAGATATACTGACATTATCACAAAGGGCGTCCCCCTTATATTTGTGAGAAACATTTGTGGAGGCCATAACACGGTTTTCCACTTCCTGATTATGTTATCATTTGCATTCACAGTTTTATTCATTTTCAGCGGTTGTAGTTTCACTCAGAAAATAAAGATGACACTCTTCAGGAAATTTTTCAAAGAAATTGCTTCGATTTTGTATCTGAGTGATACTGATAATTTGGATGCAGCAGTGGAAAAAAAACAACAGAACTGGCTTTCTTCGGGCAAACGATGAAATCTTGCGACTTCAGATGAAAAGAGGAAATATCCATTGATAAGCTGGTTAAGCTCTAAGAGAATACCCGAGGTAATAATCTATTGACCATTACATAATTTAAGTAAAACAGGGGCCGCTGATGGTGCAGCATAAATGCCGAGTTCGTCAAGAATGGTGTGAACTACATGATCGACTGGCTGATGGCTATGATCAACAGAGTGTGGATGCTGGATTATTTTCCAGAAGAACCGGTTCCAAGTTTCCGTTCTGGAAGACGAAGGGTAAACTTTTCGTGTGTGCGTGAACTGCTATGGCATCAACTCCTCCCAATACAGGCCTAGCACTTCACACGGATCCTCCTTGACCGCGCATTCTCCAGTTCTAGATGTCTCGTTAAGCAAGCTGATTCTCTGTCTCCTTGCTCCACTTCCGTTATTCCGCTCTTTATCGAGAAGCTCTGGAAGTTTCACAGGGATCGACATCTCTATCAATCAGAAGATCGGCTTCGAAACAGCTGACACACTGACACATTGTCAAAGTTCTGCATCCTCTTCACCATGCAATACAAGGGTGCTGAGAGCAGTGTATATATCGCTGCTTACAGATCAATCTATTCAATTGTATTATTAACCCCTTAAATTAAAATAAATCGTGTCCCGAGAAAAAAAACAAAGTCCTTTTGACACTTCTTCCTGTTGCAGCCACGTTTATCCATGTTTGCGAAAATATATTTCTTTCTCTATCTCTCTATATCTCTCTGCCTGTCTGTCAGACTCTCTCTATATCTCTCTGCCTGTCTGTCAGACTCTCTCTATATCTCTCTGCCTGTCTGTCAGACTCTCTCTATATCTCTCTGCCTGTCTGTCAGACTCTCTCTATATCTCTCTGCCTGTCAGACTCTCTCTATATCTCTCTGCCTGTCTGTCAGACTCTCTCTATATCTCTCTGCCTGTCTGTCAGACTCTCTCAATATCTCTCTGCCTGTCTGTCAGACTCTCTCAATATCTCTCTGCCTGTCTGTCAGAATCTCTATATCTCTTTGCCTGTCAGACTCTCTCTATCTCTCTATATATCTCTGCCTGCCTGTAAGACTCTCTCTATCTCTCTATATCTCTCTGACTGTCTGTCAGACTCTCTCTATCTCTCTATATCTCTCTGACTGTCTGTCAGACTCTCTCTATCTCTATATCTCTCTGCCTGTCTGTCAGACTCTCTCTATCTCTCTCTCTGTCAGACTCTCTCTCTATCTGTCTCTCTCTATCTCTCTATCTGTCTCTCTCTATCTCTCTCTATCTCTATCTCTCTCTATCTCTATCTCTCTCTATCTCTCTCTATCTCTATCTCTCTCTATCTCTATCTCTCTATCTGTCTCTCTCTATCTGTCTCTCTCTCTCTATCTCTATCTCTCTATCTGTCTGTCTCTCTCTCTCTCTATCTCTATATATATAATATATGTGTGTGTGTGTGATTGGGTGTATCAGTAGGTAGGGTTTGGTGTATTACGTTCATTAAATTCATTAGTAATAACATTATGATGAATGAGGATATATTTTCTATTCGATCAGAGAATTAATTTTATCGCACTTTTGGGAAATGTTCAATTCATGAAAAATTAATCTCCAGACAATTTCGAATTAAAATACCCAATTGTTTACCGAGGTCAATGTGTATATTGGCCAACAGACTACGCCCGATATCATAATATTTAATCAAGATATTTCATTGGAACGAGATGAAACGAGATAAAACAATTAAACTTAAAGCAATTTATGCAAGTATACGCACACATATATAAACACACATACATTCATGAATGCATACATACATATATGGCTCTTGAATAAGTGATTAGAGCGTTTGATTTCCAGGTTCGTATCTCACAAATGACCAATAAAAATTAAACAAAGCAAAAGTAGAAGTTCCAAAATATATTCCATCTTTTTCTACATATTTCAGTCTTTCAGATAATTTAACAAAAGTGAAAAAAAGTTGGGATTCATAAAAGTTTCCCATTTATTCTTTATCTTAACATTCTGTCGGACGTCAATTCATATTTTTTTATAAATTTTGTCCAACTTATATATATATATATATATATATATATATATAATGAACATTGAATATATATATATTGAACATTGAAGTCAACACTCAGAGGATGAATATTGAATATATATATAATGAATATTAATATTGATATATATATATATATATATATATATATATATATATATAATGAACATTGAAGACAACACTCAAAGGCGACAGGCTGTTTCATGCTAGACGCAATCGTCAGGGCGAGAGTGTTGAGTTTTTTCTCGGGTATTTATATATATATGGGTCAGTGGTGTATTGTGAATAATCCATTATGACGTTTATGTTGGCGGGTGTGGCTTGTTTATTTTTTTATTTGGGTTAATTTACTTGACTTCTTTTTATTTTCATTTTTCTTTTTTATATATATTTATTCTTTTCGGTTTCCTATGTTTTATTAACGTAGTAAAACCTTCTGTAGGGGATATGCTTATGTCGGTCATTTAATATTTTGTTTTGGTCTGGTAAGTTAAAGCTATTTATTCGTCCAATTTTTGGATTAATTGTCGTAGTCTATTCTGCTATTTGTGCGAGGGAGAGTTTTTAAGATGTTAATATTTTATTTATTTGGATTCCTTAATTTTGATTGTTTTTGATTATTTATGTTTACTTTTATTAGTTCTAACGTTTATTTTAGCGGGGGTTCCCGATAAAATAACCGTTAAAATTAATAGAATATTAGGACAAATATATAGCTTTATTTTCCCAGACCAAAGATAAATATTGAATAAGCGACCTCAGCAAATCCTTCCCAACTTTTTTACTACGTTAATAAAACATGGAAAACCGAAAAGAATAAATAAATCTATATAAAAAGAAATGAAAATAAAAACAAGTAAAAGAAATTAACTTAAATAAATAAACAAGCCACTACCGCTAAAATAACCGCCAGAATGGATTACCGACAATGCAACACTGACTAATATATAATAATGGGAAATGCAATAGCAATTTTTTTTACTTGATTAAGCAAACTTGAAGACCATTTCTAAGAGAAAGATTTGATTAATTTAACCAGAATTTGCACCGGTGGCTCGGTCAGTGACTGCCGAATATTTCCCTATATAAAATGGCGGAAAGATTGGTAGAACAGATACTACATATCAAATCCGAGTCAGATAGCGAGGAAGCGAAAGAAAACGTACCTCACGAGGGACTAGCTTTTTAATCAATGTATTCCGAATACTTTCTCCTAAATACACGGTTTATATTACCTTTTTTTTTCGTTCTATTTGTTCTACGTACTGAAGGCCAGTTTTCAAATCTGGAAAGATTTTGGAAGATATTGATCTTCCGTACTTGATACATCAACTTCCTATCCATAATTTACATCAGCTCCAAAATTTAATGTGAGCAGCAATCCACTTTTTCACATCCTAATATCGGCGTCAAAAGTGAGAATTTGATATGTGGACAAGATTCAGGAGAATTAGGTAGAGTTGACTGATGCCGATCAAGAAAGGATTTTTTTGGATTGCATTATCTATTCATTTATTTTATTTTATTTTTTAAAAATTTGAAATAGGAACTGGAATAAATTTGGTTTTTCATGATTATTACGACGCATATTAATAAAGAATCTTTCGGTTAGAATTTAATGGTTGTATAATTTCGTGACAGGAATATTATTGCCCTTCTGCATGAGGTTTTAATAGCTATTAAAAATATTTCTACATTTCTTGGAATATTTAAGATTTAAATGCCAGAGGTATCTTAGTTCAGATTTCCACTTTATTGATTTATATTTGAAAATAGCATAAATAATCTTTAGTGCAGTGATTTTCACAAAAATTCCCCAATGTTCCAAAATGTGTTATAAACATGGGAAATCACAAAAGTCGGAAAGATATCCAATAGAAACGTAAAGAAAACAATAATATTCAAGCTTTAAATGCGTGTTTTCTCATTTTCAGCTAGTTAGTAAATATCTCATACTGGCCATTTCCAAACATCCATGTCTTGGAAAATATGATTGGTTTTCAAAGATCTTCAAATCATTAGACGAAGAATGATGGAATTTCAATTGAGAGTTATTCCAATGACGTTGCTCAATGTCTTCAATATGATTCTTCCAATGTCTGTGGATATTATTATTCTATTTGGTATTGATGACAAACCCATATCGATAAGATTTACTGTTTCCAACGCTAATAACATGTGAGGTATGACTCCGATCTTAATGTCAAATCCATCTTTGATGTTGGTTCCTTTAAGAGAGGATACATCAATGTGAAAGCTATCACCGCCCTGACCAAATAACTCCCGCTTTTCTTTTTTTCCACAAGTAAAATTAAATGACATCCTCACGGTATAATCCTGTAAAACATTTATAGAATTTTAAATAAAAAAAAGATGCTAAACTGTAACAGTTGGCAAAGAGATAAGCTATTATATTCATCGCCACTGTGTTATAAATTGCTATAAATTAAAAATTTGTTACAATTTATAAACGACAGCGTAGTCACTATATATAGTTTAGAATTGAACTAATTTCCATATTTCTTCAATTTTTAATAATTTTCTTTGAAATTTCTATATGTCTACTTTTTAGAATTTAGTTACTCATTTATACCCCTATCCTTATTCTTTTCAAGCACAGCATACCAGCTTAAGTGTTTCCTTGGAGTGAATAATAATATTTATTATTAATAATATCAGTAAAATGATATCGGCATATATTAAGCATTTACGCGTTAGCCATAAATTGTATAGTATAGTTGAACTGAAGTAAACCATTTTTTTTTAAATATTGAATAGGAAAGAATCAAATAATATCCTTTTCGATAATGTACAATCTTTGTATCCCCTTTTTTTTATTGATTTTTGCCTAAAGTCTTAGTAAGCTTCGCTCTGTCAAAATTTTTAGGATCTAACGCAGAAATAAACCAAAAGGAAAAGAAAAGGTTGCCATCCTCGTTATTGTTGTCTCCTGCTGCAAGGAAATTTAATGGGCTAATATATCCTGGGGCCATTGTGTAACAGCTTGCAATCAGTTTAGTGCCAGCAAGGTACCTCTGAATATGGAAGACGTTAACTGCTAAAATAACATTTTCTAAGTCTTTGTATCTATTTTTTGTTTAAATTTAGTTATTTTATAATGGTTTATTTTTGTTTATATTATTATGGTGCACAAGCATTCATTGCTATTTACTTAATTCCGCAAGTGCAAATAAACACTTACATTCAACACATGATCGTTACAAACTGTTTCGTTCCTTAATACAGATATATTTTTAGGTTTTTTTGTAATCATTACAGCACGGAGAATGCAATAAAACAAGGAAAAATTAATAGAAAGCAGGAATCTGAGAAAAGGTTACTGTGTCGTGAGGATTATATAAAGAACAATATTCATTTAGTACAGAGTTTAGTATTAACACTATGTTTAAATTGTATTTCAATGTAGCCAACAGGATATCAAAATCCTGCATGAAAGCTCCTACTTTGACAACTGGAAGAGAAGAAAATACAGCAATAACACTTACGATTGCATTCAGCAATACTAACTCTAAACTGAGTAGACAAATCTACGAATCTAGAACAAATTTTACATTCAATATTTCAACATACCAAAGAGGAATGTTCATCATGCATTTATAAAGTCAAAGAACCAAAGGGGAAAGCTATTTATGATTATATAAACTTGGTATCTCCCCTACTATTATGAAACTCGCGAGATATGATATCCAAAGTCATTGAATCGCATTAGATCTGTCGGTTTCTATCACGTAAAAGAATTATGCAAGTTTATTAGATTACACCGTATAAGACCAAAAAAAACTAGATTTCACCTAGAAATCATGGCTGTTTTTAGAAAAATTTTAAACAGATGAAGCTTTTCCGAGTATAGACAGCTGTAAAATGAAAAGCTTGAAAAAATATTCCGAATATATAGAGATTAAGAAAAAATAGTTGAGTAAGATCTAACAGAAATATACACACTTTTATTCTATAACAATTTACAATAGATCATTTAGACGTGGCACAAGGCCAAAAGTACGCAATGATGATCGAACTCACTACTCCGATGTAATTGATCTATCAAGTAAAGCTTACTAAACATTACACCGTATCAAAGTTCCATAAGAGTTATTGTATAAAGATCAAAATCTTATATCTTTTAAATGAACGATGGAAAGTCAAACATTATCAGCATTCTTGTTTAAAGGTATCTCATGGTGAAAGGGCAGAAAATGTTTTTTCTTAACCTCATAAATCATTCCAAACGACATACTTTGTTTTGGGAATAATTAGCATTTACCCAATAGCACTGTTTGTCATTGTAAAATAAATGGCAGTGTGTAAAATATTTTGTAAGGTACTTCCAACAGACAAAAATATTCATGGAAGAGAGAGAAGAATTACTGAATGTTTAGACGAACACTGTGTC